TATAATTCTAGTACCTTGGGGTTAGGTTTAGGATGAATATTGGGGAAGGCTTTTTAGATATAATTCTAGTACCTTGGGGTTAGGTTTAGTTAGATCAGATTCAATTTGTGTGGAAGATTTTATTATGATACTAAGACTTTATCGTTGTTACTGAACTTGTTTACAAGCATAGGTATATGAACAGTTATGTAAAAAGATAAATTTAACACCGTAAAAAAGTAGGTGAAACAACTTAATGATGTTTTGGACGTTAATCCTTCGTCGGAGTTAAACAACTCTTTACGACGCAGCTCACACTAGTTTACCACTAGTTTCCACCATTGGTTGCTGTTCAAGGAAATACGGAATTGTGCTACAATTGTAATTTTTGCAATAGGCATATTGGGATGCAATTTAGTGACTTTCTCTGCCTTATGTATTTGAATCCACTTTTTTCGACTTATAATGTCGACTTRACTCTTCGTACTAATGAACTTSGTTGTTTGCATTTCYAATGTTGTTTATATCGTCTTTAAGAAAGTTTTTGGCTTTTGAATAAAACTCATCGATGAAATACACATGTATACAAGATTTCTGCATCTTTACATGTCCTTTTAGCTCGTCTAATAGTCTTAAAAACTTCTTTTCATCCACATAAGTTTCCACCTTTTCGGACATATTGAAAATTACGAAGTGTCTGTTTAGCGCTAAAGCGCATGCGTGCATATTGTTACTAGCGTGACGTAAGTAACGGCCTGAATATATTAATAAAAGAAAAGTTCAATGATCACTCTGCAACTCAAGCCTTGGTGGTCAAGTGGTAAGCAGACAGGATTTGAGAGCGAAAGGTTCGGGGTTCGAATCACGGTAGGTTCAAGTTAAAAAAATAAAAATAATTATAAACACAGGTAACCCATACAGGTAGTTAGACAGCTATAGGTAAATCCAGGGGGAGGTGGAACTAGGGGTGGGTGAAGTAAGAGGAAATACAGAGGGTGGCCTGGTGAAGAGTAGTAGGTTCTTTTAAGAACATCCCCCCCCCCAAAATACCAAGCCCCTGTTTTTTCAATGAGTCCCCAAAAATAAAAATCCCTTTTAAGAATGCTAGATATCCAAATATGAACTAGTTTTAAAAAAATGAGCCGGTTTGAAAAATTCAAACCAGTTCAAAAAAATTTCAAACCAATGCAAATTTCAAACCACAACACAGACACCACCACCCTTTTTATGTAAGCGGTCCAGTCGAAAGAGCTTGTAACCTTCAATTTTGAGCTCTAAGGATGTAGTTYAAGTGTTAAGCCAGGTTTCAGAAATGGTTACGATGTCAGGTTGTCTGTCTGAAACGAATTGCCGTAATTCCATTAAATGAGTGTGATTTTTAAGTGATCTTATATTAACGTGGATAACTTCGAGCTCAGATCCACTTGGATTTGGTTGCGGATTTACGCTATCAGGTTTGTTGATGTTAGTAACACGCTTCAATGGACGTAAATTAATTTGCCTTTCTTGGTCTCTTGCTAAGATCACTGTCGGTGGAAACGATGACWTTTCTCTCTCTTTCTTTGGTATTAATCAAAGTGACAATGTTTCTTGAATGGGGCTCCGTTRGAAGATGGTTACCGCCCCGTTGACCTCTGTAGGGCGAGAGTATACCGCAGGAACGAAGCGAATTCCTATAAAATAATTGAAGTTCACTTTTCTTCTTGTTGTAATTTGAAATCTTTGCCCACAAAAGACACATCTAGAAGCTAGAAAGGTCATTGATTCAGTTTTGTAAGCATACTACTCCAAGCTGCATTGCGATCTGCACATGTGCGTACTTCTGATAGCTAGAAATGCATTCCGATGATGTAACAGATTCCACATTAATTGTAAATGAATGTCTTTTTAATCAAATAAAAGTTCAAGTATTGTTAAACAATTTGTGATGATGTGTGTACATCTATAACATTTGGGCTTCCTGTCATGTTACATAATAATACAGCCAAACCAATAGTTGATTTAAAGCTTGAATTCTTAGCTTCTGGTGGTCCAAATGCAACATGAAACATAGATAGATAGATTGGCAAAAAGGTAGAACTAAAGTTGAGCAGCCTACAGCTAGCCCAATGAGATATGAAGGAGGTCAGATTTTAAAAACAATTATACACATCATTGCTTAGAGCAGTATAGGAACAGGCCACTGAGTGCATTTTTAAATTTTTGATGAATCAAAATGTAAACAAAAGATTCATCTGTGCTTGTTGGTTCACTGACCTGCTAGAAAATATACAGTCTATTTTGTGAAACATATATCGAAAAATTACATTTGAATTTGTCTGTGAAAGTTAATGTAAGTTTTAAAGCTGTTTATGTCAATCAGAAAAACATTCAACTGGCWGCTAAGCACCTGGTAACTGACTGTTTTGATGGTGAGAAGCTCATACCTTTGCTAATGTGTTGATAATAATCAGAAAAATACAATATGGCTTTTTGTTTACTCTGATGACAGGCTTTCATTTATTACCGTAATATTAGTCTTATGTGTATGTATGTAATGGGGGGGGGGGGGGGTTGATTTGATTTATAACATGCATGGGATGGTGCAGACAGATGTATAAAATTTTGCCAGAGCCCCCCAATAAAAGGAGGTTATTCCAGGTGAAAGACCCTTGGAAATAAATTTGGACCCTTGTTATCAGAGAGAACTTTATCCATTTCAGTCAGAATTTTGTTTTTATTTGCACAGTTATTGAAAGAAMTTGGTTTATCAACTGAAAAGGAAATTCCAGTTGGACGGGAAATATCAGGAGTAGTTACAAGTAGTAAGTATCAACTAATTTCACCCTCACTGTCCCCAGTTTGACATTTAATTTTCTCCTAAAACAGAAGGGAATCAAGTGCAAAGATTTTCAGTTGGAGATGAAGTTGCAGGTACTGCTAAGCATAATTTTTATTATTTTCTTCATTAGCTTCTTCTACTACCAGTGTAACTGCAAAGAGATTACAAAATTCACAGCTCTGGATAGAGAAACATTCATTCCATTCTTGAGTTTGGTCCATACTGTCAAGACCTAGGTCTGATATTTCACCATACAGACCTCACACTCGTTTAAATAACCCTTTATATTTTAGTGCAGAGAAATATTGTGCATTTATAGTGAAAATTCTTTAAAACTTTTAATTTTTAACTTTTAAGTTTTTTTTTAAAGTTTTTTTTAGTTTTAAAAGTTATATTAACTCTTGTAAAACTCATGAATAATTAATGAGGAAAACACAATAGAAATCACAACCGTGAAGAGTGTTGTAATATTTGATACAAAACTGTCTTGATTTGCATAAACTTCAAATCTAATTTTCTCAGCCAAATTCAATTTTATCGTAAGTTTTTAGTAGATTATGAATGTATATACACCTAAACGTTTCATTTACAACATTCGCATCCGTGTGTTGTATGGGCTCAAGATTGTAAATCCCATACAACACAACCACTCAATATGTTGTAAATATTACTTATTATCATTGACTCTCTATAATATTAATAAAATATCTACTTGATTTAATGATTGTTCATATGATTGTTGTCCACTAGGAGTCATTCCCCTGTCAAGTGGTTCTGCTGGATGTGCAAACTTTTGTGTTCTTTCAGAGTTTGATTTAGGTAAGGTGATTCTTAAAGTCTATCCTGCACACATGTAGCCTATACATTTCTTAAAAATTAAAATTCAACCTTTCTCTCATATCGATGTCAAAAGCAAATCAATCAATCAATTTATTTATTACTCATTTAACACAGTATATTTTACATGTTAAAATGTTAAAACCTCACCATAAAGATCCACTATCAATTATTCTCTGTAACTGTCTTTCCATCATAATTAAGGTCTTTGTTAAAATGTTTGCATCCCTTCCTGAGTACCTTGCTTAGTTAATTGAAACAGTACAAGGGAAGGCTTTCAGAAAAATCTACCCAGGCCTGAACTATGATTCTGCTTTGGCTCAGAGAAGCCAAGAATGGAATTATTTTCAGAATTATTTACAATTCTTGTGCCAATTTAGATTTCAAAAGACCAATGAAATTATATTTGCATTCTATGATTATCAGTCTATGCACTAGGATAACGACTTGTCTTAATTTCAGTGTTAAGTGTTATGTTATTATCATTGTATTGGGTCAAAAGGAGGCTGGGGTGGATCACTTGAATTTGTTTGTKTTATATATCAACAATTTTGCAAAATTATCAACTGTGTAAGGTCTGTTATTTTGCATCATTTTTGAGAGCAMAAGAGTGTATAAATACTGTCAATCAATCAATAAAACATTTAATTGCTTACTTGCAATTGGCTGATTGATTATCTTGTTTGATTGATGAATTGGTCAACAGTTAGTAAACCTGAGAAGGTCAGTCATGTTGATGCTGCAGGGTTTATTGGAGATGGTATCAGAGCATATACCGCAATCCATTATCAAGCTAGACTATGTGGAGGAGAGACTGTCTTAGTATTTGATGGAGCATCAGTAAGTTACATGTATATAATATTTTACTTGGAAACAAAGTCTATGATGTTAACTTTATCAATGAATTCTGGRCATGCATTTAGTTGTTAATAGTGCAAGCTTCAAAGAAAAAGAGCGTATACAAAATCAAAAATTCACATTTTACTTCGTATCAATTYAAATATATATTGACCGATTTCTTGAAAAGAATCTATTGTATCATTCTTTGTATTGTATCATTGCTACAGCATGATGTTGTCTTTCCTCAATAAATTTTGACCAAACTTTGGTAATAGTTAGGCAATACCTCTAAGGTCCTCTAATATTATGTCCCTGAGATATCGTGGAAAGAATAGACATATTTTTTTTGAAATAGCTATAAAAACGTTTTCGTGGATTTCCCCATAAAACGCATTTTTAAAATTAATTAATCCATTTTCAAAAAAATTACTCAATATGAATTTGAATCCCTTGTTAATCATGTAGTAAAATATTATTAAGATCTTACCAATAGAAATTTGACCTGTTTCTTTTGTTGGTGTTCTAAACAACTGTATTGCATTGGTGTTCTAAACAACTGTATTGCCAGACACGTTAAAGCTTGTGTACGTACAGCATGTCCCTTTAAAGCATGTATAGTCAAAGCTTTGTCTACTCAAATCATGTCTATTTATTTAAAGCCTGTCTACTCAAAGTCTACTTTCTGTCTAATAAACTCAAACATATGCTAGAAGTATTTAAATCTTTAGAAAGAAATAATTATCATATTATTTAATTATTAAATAAAGCTGTTTAATATTAATTATAGTATGTATTATTGTAAACATTCTGTAGAATTTTGTGTTGTGGTAAATGGGTATCATTCTTGCAAAMAATTATAAATTGACATGAATTATATTATTGATAGCAATTAATAGTCAATGTTGTTTTTAAGTCGTCAGGTGTGATAACTATACAGCTTGCACAGGCATGGGGTGCTAAGGTACATGTATGTTGACTCATTATTTTTTTACAGTTTCCCCTTGCACTATGGTAGCCATGCTATTCTATTGAAATCTTACCAGCTGAACYGTCAATTCTTTTATTGCAATGCAAGAGACACTACATTTACCTTGTTTGTTCTACCTCTGATCAGCTGGTCACACCAGCTTTCCAATGTTACAGTAGGCTTAACTACCCTTTTCAAATACAGGTCATTTCCAACAAAAGACTTTTTGCACATAAGTTTCAGACTSTTTCACACAGAAAGTCATAAGAAACATTTTTCAGGTCACTTWATGGACTTATCTTTAATTAAGCTGTACAAACAGTATGTGAGGTGCATAATTGCCATCAGTTCTAAGAAAACCAAATGGATCTGGCCTGTTTTATTGCACTTGATTTCCTAGTTAATGTAACAGTACTTGTGAAGCAAGGTTCCTAAGAATTTACAAAAGGCAGTTAATTACAGTCTATATAACACATATTGATAATAAAGTATAAGAGAAAAAGTGAAAATACTTACAAACAAACTGTGTGACAARGGTGAACTATTCGATGCTAAGGGATGACTATAGCYCTAAACTGAACGAAATTTGCATAGGGCATTTTGAGGAACAAAGGAAGACCAAGGAAATAAGTGAATGTTGACTTAAGCAAACAAATTATACAATAGCAAACACTACAGCTCCTGCTATCCTCAACCTTAGAACAGCTTGAGGACCAAAAAGTAAGAATGTTTCAGACATGCTACATATTGACGCATGCATGGTTGCAGACTAATCCTCAGTAAATACTGTTGGATTGGGCACCCTGCAATAACTAACAGGGCAATGGTGTGATTGTCTTAGAAAAAAATAGCATGATGAAGAAGTTTGTCTACAAAAGGATTTAATTTATGTAATCTTATAAACCATGATACAGAATTTCCTCAAAGTCTCATTGTTATGTTTTAAAGGTCAGAGAACTTCTGACCTTAGAACAGCTGATTATAATTGTGAAAATATTTTTTTGTTTTTTTTGCAAGAAAATCCCTAAACAATATTCACATACTGTGTACAATATCATGTTCTGTGCTTTTGCATGATTGGTAAAAACAGAATGATAAAAAAATACTTAAACTTTACACCAAGTTTGTGCTAAAAAGTAAAAATAGCTATAATTGATCAAAATTAAAATTGCAGCTTTTTTTGTATGAATAATTATTATGTTCCACAGACTAATTTATGTACTACATGTATTTGAAAGCTCATGGCTTTGCTTAGATAGCACTCATGACAGTGTTGTTTTAATTTCATGTGAAAGGTTCTAGCTACTGCCACGACAGAGGAGGAAGTTTTACTTTTAGAAAGTTTTCAACCACAACTCAGTAAGTTTGCATTGAAGCCTGTAAAAATTATTAGACCATTAAATGAATTATCCCTGAAATACTTTCATTGTGTGAAATTGCATTAAAATGGAAATTTTTGTTGATAATTAAGAGTTAAGAATTGCACATTTGGACATTTATCAACATGCCCAGTCAAGGACTATGTTAACTTCTTTGAGTAGAATCATTTAGAATAAATTCTCATAATTTTTGCAAAAGGCTGTATATTATATTATAAATAAAATAATGTATTTTCCATAGATTTGCAATCTCAATATTAAGGAGTGTCTTGCAGACAATCTTGCTACWATATAGAGTATGCATGCTTATGCAATTATTCAAGTAGTCATGTTGATCTTTGTCAGGATGTTGATTCAACCTGTGCACATATTGTTAATCACATTTTTATAACAATTTACATTCTTTAAATATTCAATCCTCTTTATGGTGCTGCATATATTTACAGCAAGAGTAATTGATTTAAGAAAGTGTGAGGAGTCAATAGTAGATGTTTGCACAATGGAGACTGGTGGCCTGGGTATTGATTGTATTATAGATAATGGAGGTAGGAATTATAAAGCTATAATATTCAATTGTAGTTTTAATCTATTTAAAACTAGATTTTATGAAATTTAGTATATCAAATCATTTTAAATTGTTTGAGAGTTTTGCCAACYAAGAGTTTAAATTCCAGTTTTAAACAAATATTTTATGGGTTCTCATTCAGTAAGTAATGTTTARAACATGAGCGGCCGCCTTCAGCTCGAGATTGTAAAATCCCATACAACACGGACACGATTGTTGTAAATTACTAGTGAAATGTTTAGGTGTTTACATTCATAATCTACTAAAAACTTAAAGATAAAATTGAATTTGGCTGAGAAAATTAGATTTGAAGTTTATATGCAAATCAAGACAGTTTTGTATCAAATATTACAACACTCTTCACGGCTGTGATTTCTATTGTGTTTTCCTCATTAATTATTCATGAGTTTTACAAATCCATATAATTACATGTATATGCACTTGTTCTCGATTTATGGGGAAAGGGGGAAGCCCAGGGGGGACTTCCTAATAAAAAAAAGGGGTTCCTTGGCGAATATTCTGAAAAATGACTCCTAAAAGGGACGTCCTGTATTGTGAGATGATCGGGAAGCGGGGCCAACATACTGTTTTCAAATCCTAAAAGGGACGATGAGGACCCCATCCTTTCTTGTCAGGGAGTCCCCTTTATGTAATATATTATAATGATTATGATTTCACGAAACTGCTTAATAATGCCAGAAATTTCTTTTACATAGTGTCACAGTATAGTGATGAATTCATGGAATATCTAACAGATTGGGAAGTTGATCAAGTCATTGGCCATAATTCCAGCACACCCAGCAAACATGACATCATTTCATCTTTGGCTGTTGGAGGAAGATGGGTAACACAACAGSCAGACCTGCAAGTAGGTTATTAAATTCATTTCCAGATATCATTCTTAGTTTGCTTGGCTATTAACGCTTTAAAAAACAAGACTTTTAACTTCTTCCTAACATGCATTTTGTTATACCTTTGCATAAAACATGGAGCATAACATAGAACATGGAGCATAACATAGAACATGAAAAAACAACAAAACTCTGAGTCAATGAAACCACAAAAACCATAGTCCAAGATGTATATGCAACAACTGAGAAAACACCCTTACTTATTATAGCATTCATTTTTATTTTATATAATTATAATATAAAATTATTTATTTCTTGCATGTTTTAATGTTTTTTTTTTATATCAGCTTGATCCACCAGATTCCAAGCTGCTTTATGCTAAAGGTGCTTGTGTTGGTTTTCTCTTTGAAGATGTGTGGACATTATCAAGAGGTAGTTTAGTAAGAGTTAAATTAATAAACTTTGTGCAGCCAGGGGTCACGTGATTACACCTACCTCAAGTCAATCACATATCACAAATATGCCCAGAAATGGAAAGAGCAGTTTGATGTAAGTAAAATTGCAAAGACTCAACTCTAGATAATTCAAGAATGGCAGCAATTAAAAGAGCTTCATTTTTGAAAAGAAACACATGTGAAAAGAAACTGGACAGCAAGCCTTTCTAGTTCTATTTTTGCATGATACATTTCTTAGAAAAAAAGTTATACTTTTTATTTGCTACCTTTTTCAAGCATTTATTTTATCTATTTTTATTTATTTATTAGTGTTAAAGTGCACCTAACCCCTGAAAAATGACATTTTTTTCTAAAATTAGGGAGGTTTCTTAGAACTTTGGCAAAAAAACGACATGATATTATTGAAATCCCGATTTTTACAAATTTTTAAACATGTAAGAATAGGTACTTCAAGCTCCCTGTGGTGGACTGAGCAATTCTACAGTATCACGTGACTTAATTGTGACGTAAACCCAGTATCAGATATTACTGCGAAACCCTCATGTAAAACTGTAGTAGAATTTTTATAGACTTTTGAGGTAAAAATGCCAAAATGGATGTGTTGTTTACAGTTGTAACAGCACACCAAATATCAGAGAAGGTATTGTCTTATTGTCTGGGTTGACGTCACACTCGTTTCCATACTTCTTTTGYGGCTGTCCATTTGAAATCCAGCTCAAAACATCTGCCAAAAATCAGGAATTCAATGAAAACGTTCTTAGAAACTTCCCTAATTTTAGAAAAAAATGTCATTTTTCAGGGGTTAGGTGCACTTTAAGACTTGAAACTATGTCTTCTTAATAATTCTGACCTGTTCTGTATTTCCAAGGTTCGAAGTAATTAACTATTTTATTTTGTCATTGAAAAGGTTTTCATTGAAAAAATAGTAGACATATTTAAGTGCATTTAGTCTGTCAACACTTTCATTTGGATTTGCTTCGACAGGGCAATTCTAGAAAAAAAATAAAAATACAAAATGACCCTCCCCTTTGTACATGTATTGTTACAGGTGCGTAGCATCCTTTACGCATATATTCACGTGTGTACTAGTGACAAGGAAATATTAAAATTTTTGGGATGTTTTCGGGGTGATACCTGTCTTGGCTTGCTTTCTCYTACCAATGCTTTGTTATCAAACGAACCTGAGCTTCACATTTAATTAAAACAATTGAGTTTTGAAGCATATGCAGACATGCGGGAACCGCAAAAATTATAAAAAAGTCACACACCTTATATACAAAAATTATTAAAAGTTTGCATACCTTTTATATGCCCCTCAAATCGCATTCCCAAAAGTTACTATATCAAAATTTTCCTGGGGTAGGACCATACCCCCCCTTAATATCTTAATACTCCCACCTCTGGCTGTTGTTAACCCCCCACACCCACCCCGCGCAAATCAAAATATGTGTTGGGGTCACTGACATGTCTTGCTTAAAAGTCCACTAATAATATCATTTCATCTTTATTTACAATGTGTATGTGTGAACTTCCTACATGTCAGAATTTGTCATTTTATTTTAAGATTGTTAACAAATATTGCCACTGGGTGCATTAATTGTTCTTGATTCCCTTTGGTTTTGTTTACTTTTAGGCCAACAGGGCAGGTACCTTCATATCCTTTTAGTATGCAAAAACTGTATTTACTAAGAATATAAAATTGCTTCTTGATTTTCACTCTTGTTCAAAACAGATTGAAGCAATTGGCAATTGAATAGTGTCTAGAAAGTATTTCTTAAATCTAGAATGTTTATTCGTCTGTCTGGTATTATGTTGTGTGCATGCAATGAGAATGTGTGTGAACATTATGTAAAATTTGCCTTTTATCACAGAAGCAGTCAAAAGGTTTTCAATTTTAGGAAATATAATAAATATACAGAACTACTGCTATTTCTGTCTATTAAGAACTTAATATGCATCTAGTTAGTATGCATGATGGGCCTTTATGAAAGCCTTGGAAATCAATGTGTCTTTTTTCAGCGTGTAATTTACCTTTTATGCATCAATAAAAAACTTTATTTTACAGTTCCAGGCTATATATCTTTAAAGGTAACAAAACTGTTACATCAAAGTGAGATTCAAATCTGATGTAATTTGTGACAAATAAGGTACAATTTTGAGATTCATTTTATTTTAATAATATGTTTTAAGGGCAGCAGCACAATTAGGCACTATGTGAGCGTAGTGCATGTCCTTGGAAAAAACAGACTATATGGGGCTCTGAGCGCTGAGGATGGCCTGTTGCAAACTTAATCACTGTCTTGGTTTGATGCAAATATAAAGGCMKTCAGCTGCCTTTCAATATGACACTTGMAACTTGWAAAATTATAGAGTATTGCTTCATTAGAAAGAGCAGCACTGCTCACAGTACATGTAGTTTAGCCCAAGTAATTTACATGTCTTTGTTTATACCTTAATTCAAATCTCAAATATTCTAAATGATCTGATGGACAAGTTTACCCACTCACTAGTCAGGTACACCCATTATAACTTATTTATAATTATTTATACTAGAATATGTACAAAATCAAGTATTTTTATTTGATTATTTATTCATTTCATTCTTTCTTTCATTCTTTTTTACATTTTTTTTCTTTCTTTCTTTCTTTCTTAGTTGTTTTGTTTTTGTTGTCCTGTATTGTTAAACCGTTTTGGCGCCATGACCCATTTCAGTACTTCTGTGTGGCCGCCATACGTATTTCAAATTATATGAAGTGAAAACATGCTGAAGTTTTTTTAAAAATAATACCGTATACAAAAACATCGTTCCCAAATCGGGGGTGCGGCTTATTTACGAGAAGACTTGTAAAAATGCCTGATAAAAAGCCATTTCATAAATTAGCATTCACTGTGCTACTAAATTMCAGACGTATTATTAAATCGTCTAGGACATTCAGTAATGTGATAAGTTTGTTTTACACGGTGCGGACACAAATATTTTAATGGAAATGCAGTACTGTTACTGTAAATCTAACTCTGAGAAACACAAGTCAATAAATCAAAATGAAAAGTGAGTGGTTATTGAGCCAATGAACAGAGAGCATTTTCAATCGTTCTGTCTTGAGTTGTTTTGGTAACGCGATGCTAATTTGCATTGTTCATTTAAGCGACTTTGTCACACTTAAAGTGAAGAATCCAGGGTAAATATTTTGAATACCCAAGAAATAAGCCTAAGAAATTGTTCCTTATATAATTAAAGAAATACAATCTTCTGTAATATTTTTTTTGAAATACAAAACGGTTTTGGCACGGAGATAAACTAACACTAAAGCCAGGATCCGAGCCAGGGATCATTTTCTTTTTAAATAAAAATATTACAAAAATAATGAATCATTAATAATTCATAAGGTTAACACAATGGAAATCATTGCATTGACCGCATCTTTATATGAGCAAGAGATTTGTCCTGATTTACATACGACTTAGCTATAAATGCAAACTCAACTAATATATGCCAACTATAACGTTTTCGTGGTGACATTAACCCCTTGTCACTTTTTCCTCTTCTTAACATGAACAATAATTACTTCTACCAACACCCTTGGTTAGAATCTTTTATGAGGCTCGTAACATTATATGTTTGGGGTWTGCTGTGCCCTAATTCTCAAGGWAAACTTTGATTCCTGAGCATGCTAATGCGTAAGAAATACGGTATTTCTCAAAAACATGTTAAGTGACGTGTTTGTCCACTACCGTCGACAATGGCGACCGTATGGAAAGCTGACTCAAGTCGACTTTGGTGCCAAAAGGGTCAAAGGG